TATATTATTATTACAATTATTATTATTATTTTTTTTTATATGAAACAAGTATTCTGCATGAGCCAGTATTTCACAATATTTTCTTTTGTTTCATCAAATTCGATAATGAATTTGATAGCTCAACTGAACCGGCGACAATTTTAATTGAATTTTCCATTCAGCTACTCGTTTGGCTCTTATTTCCGTAACTCTCGCCTTCAAATAATATCTCTCGCTTTAAGCTCCAGTTATCACTCTGTTAAGCCAATGCTTGCATAGCCGCACAKTTGTTGTTGTTCACAGCAGCCGCAATGAAAAACTCGTACACCTTGTTTATACATTTTCAATGAACGAGAGAAACAAAAAAAATATGAGAGGAGTAGAGTATTAACCAGAGCGAGGACAGCAGCCTGTTAATTAATAGCCACTGCAGTGCCAGAGAAGGAGAGAGCGAGAGGTGGAGGGAGCGAGAAGAGCGAGCAAACTCTACAAAATCCCCAGTTTATGGACGATGATAAGCGCTGTACACAGCAAAAACAAAAAACAACAGCAAAAAACTCAAAGTGTTACAAGTTAAGCTTGAAAAATAAGCAAAGATGATGTGCATAGGGCAAACACAAAAAAATATATATATAGCTCAGATCCGCTTTAAGCTTTAGCTTCAGGCTTTAAAGGACCTTGCTGCTGCTGCTGCTGTTGCTGCTGTGCATGTTGCTGCAGCTTAAATATTTTTAATTGCATTTTGCGTAATCACCCAACACCTACGCGCGCTGCCTGGAACAGAGCTGAACGGAGCACGAACCGATGCCTGGCTACTGAAAGCAGTGCACATTTTTCCAATAGTTAATGGCAATTTGCTGTTTTGCTATTTACGCCAATTATCCTGCATTTACAGGCAACGGCAGCAGCAGCAGCAGCAGAAGCGCCAACATGAAAGCCAATGCAAGTCAAGGCACACCAACAATAGCCGCAACAACAACTTGGCCAACCAGCCATGGCAAAGTGCAAGTCGCGCACATTGCTGCGGCTGCATTGTATGGGTGTGCGAGTGTGTGTGGCAGGCAGTGTGCCCTGTGCAAACACATCATAATTGAAGCCTTCAACAAGTTTCACATACAATTACGAACACCTGGCAGCCAGGTGCAAACGCACACAGCTCCCGGCTAAAGACCAGGCACAACTACCAAGCCGCAGACTCTTGAGAGACCCGGCCAAGCACGTGACACTCGGCCAACGAGTAGGCATTGTTGGAGACTTGCTCTAAGCAATCGAGTTAACTCAAAGCCAACATACAATGGCAGGGAAATGCCTGGCAGGTAAAACTCGATTCTGTGTAGCTTATGGAAGCAAATTATTAAGGTAAGGTGAGGTGCACGAGTGAAAGAATGTTTTA